TAATTTCCATGCTCTGAGCACCTTCCCCTATGCATTGGTCTGACGTTGCTCCTTGGAATTGTTTGTGCTGCCCTCGGCCATGTTAGGTCACTGAGCACAAGCACTGACACCCATTCCCAAGGCTTTTAGCACAAGGCTGGAAACACTCATTGTGTTCTCCCTGTAAAATTAAGAGGTCTTACCCTGCTTCCATTGAAAGCAAAGACAAAAACCCTCAGTCTTCACTGGGACCATGACTCAGCTCCATAGTAGGATCTGAACATCATTTTGTACTGTAACAGAAATAACCACTTCAGCTCTTCCTTGATGCTGTTAGTCTTAAATGTACAGTAAATAAAACCAATATTATATAAAGGGATGGGTGACGTCTGTTGCTGCTCCCAAGACAGCCATTTTCCAGGATGAGTATTGTATACACTGTACAAAATCAAGCTGTGATTCTGCCTTCTTCCACACCCTTTGAGTATTCTCCTTTTGTGAAAAATATCTATGCAGATATTTTAAATAGAAGCTTGATATATTAAATATATATTTTTTTAATTCGTTGATTTGGGTAGGGGTGGGCATTGTATGAAAACACTGGAGGGAGAAGAAATTAAACGACACTAAGCCAGGCCTGCCATGCAAATCTGTTCCCTTCCAAACACCTTCTGAAAGGAGAAGGAAAAAAATAAGGATAGCTAGGAGAAAACAAATCAATGAATTTTCCTTTTCATCCCTTTTAAGTTAAAAAGACATCTTTCTTTCTCATTGTCATTATGCAGGCTGAGCATTCTTTTCTTTTATATACATATGCCTATATATATGTACAGATGTGTGTATATAAATACACACACGCATATATATATTTGTACTGCTGTCTTAAACTAATAGGGTGTAGCTGTTAATAAAATTGCTGAGTAGTAGTTGTTCAGGGATTCCTGTTCAGCTTTAGTAATTTATTGGATATCAGAAGTCAAATGTGCAAAATCCTTTGCTGGAAAATTCCAAATCTAATTTCTTGTTTTGTTTTGCAGCTGGACTTGTAAATACAAAAGAAAAAATGTAGGACGGATTTAATGTCCACTTTAAACTGGGCAGTTGCCAGCTTTCCCCATTTTTGTATGTACTGTAGATTAGTGTGTGTCTGTGTTAACTGTTAGTGGGGTTTTGTCTGACAAGCCTGGAATTTATACTTTGAAATAAAACTACTGGGTTTTTAACAGTTTGAGTCATTTGTGCTTAGTTCGTGACACCGCAGGAGGCAGCTCTCAAACAAGAGCCCAAAGCCTGCTCCTCCTCTCCAGAGGTGTTGCCACCTTGCTCAACCAACATTGAGCAGCAAGGCTTTGGCTCGTGGTCATTCCCAGGAAGTCACTGCCTGGTGCTGCCCTCACAGAAGCAAAAAACCAAAGCAATGCTGTAACTTCTGCCAAGTTGCCGTTCATGCACTTCTGCAAGGCAGGGACAGAGAGAATAAAGTGACCTGCGCCCCAGAGTTGCCCCAGATGAATTCAGGAATGGAAATCCAGTTGCTGGTGCTGCTCTCCTTGCCCTCCAAGATGCCAGGTTTGACCACCAAAGCAATGGTCATTCTTTCAGCAAGAGGCTTTCACCAAAGTACTGGAGATTTTCAGAGCACCCTTCAAGCATGAAGGCCCACTCACCTGGCCAGGAAGCAGCTGCTGTGCACAGCACAAAGTGCATCTCTCAGGGTTATGAAATCAGGATTAATAAATTATAAATAAATAATTAATTAAAACATGTCTCAGTGCAGGCATCATGAAGGGCTCTGCCCCCCCCACCCAGATGCCTCAAAGGTAGAAGCCAGGAGCAGCACCATGACAGATGATGTGCAACTCGTTTGGGACCAATAAACAGCTGGACTAGAAGGCAGTCTGGGAAAATCTGCCTCTTGAACACAACTCTGCTGCCAAACTGCAGAGAACTCAGAGTACTTAAAACATGGAGTTACTGATGTGCCAAGCCTGTACTTCGAGGGCATATAATTAATTTGTGATGCTAATAATTAGTTTCCATGCACTTACTAAAATTTGCTTCAAGTCACTGACCAGAAGATGATGGACTCTTGTGAAGTGATGCCTCAGCACAATCCCACTTAAAAGTCCCGAGTTTCTCAAACTGCCTGTTTAAACTACAAGTATATGTACTGCACATAGTGCAGAACCTATGTTTTATCATCAAATACAGCATAACTACTCTGCTCAAGCACTGCTGTAATTGCAGTTCCTGCTGAAGAGAAACTGCAAGTAGAGCAAAGTGAGAATGTGAACATGCAGAACACATTGTTTGCTGCAGAGTAGCTCTGGCACACACTCCATGGTAGGTCTGGAAAGTGCTACAGCCCCAGAGCAAAGTCCATTTCTGCACACCACTGATGCTTCTAGTAAGGAAACTGAAAAAATTCCAGCAGTCAGCTGAGAAGCAAATCTGAGCCAGCAGCACAGCACCAGGACACTGCCAACACACTGCTCTTGGTTTCTCCCTGAAGTGCTGTGCAGCCTGGACAGGCACTGGTACCATGCCCCGGTGTCTCCTGCTATGACAAACTGTGGCCCCTGTTAGAGCTGAGGCTGTGCAGGGTATGACCACTGGAACCAGGAGGGGCAGGTTTGCTACTGAATTTCAGAAAAGGGGAATGGTAAAGCATGTGAAAACTTATGTTCCATGTGACAATTTTGATGGTCCTACTGAGAGGAGTCATTTCCTCTAGGCATTGACTGAAGAGTATTTTTTCATTATGGCAAGAGAGATTTATCACTACCACCTCCCACTTCCATCTCCCCACCAACTAAGTCCCTCTTCAGCCAGACCTGGAAACCTGAAGTCAAAGAATCAGAAGCCACAAGACTTGGAAAAACCTGAAAACAGTATGAAAAAGGTGGCAACTTCTGCCACAAATCCTCTGCTTAGACCATACCTTCATTTTTTTTTATTCCAAGTGGCATCTGCAGAAGGAAATAAGATACTCAAAGAGACCTTTAAACTTCATGTAGCTGTCTGTCAGTTCTTTTGCACCTGCCAACAGGGCCATGCAATGCTGTCAAAGCCTCCTCTGGCCACTGATGCAGCTGTACAGGGAAGAGGAGCTGGACCTAGCTGCTGTGGTCAGGACTGGCAGATCAGCCCTAGCTGGCCTGGCAACAAAAGAAGCACAAAGGACAGCACAGCAAGAGGAAGGCAGTGGCCTTTAGCAGCACAACCAAAGGCAAAAAGTAGCCACAGTCACACAGACTGGAGTCCAAAGGCTCACAAGGTCCCATTGGTGTAAATATTTACTTACTGAAAGGCACTCTCAGAACAGCTCTGATGTCCCACAACTCTGGGTTGGAGCACAAAGGTCATACCTCAGGGGGAGGCTCAAGGTGACAGAAAGGCAAAGCTGCCATTTCCAGGCATGTTGTTGTGTCATGGGCACATCACAGGTGCCACACAGCTCCACTCCCTGCAGGTGGAAGCATCTAGCTAGCTGTGCCCTGGGTCAAGAACACTGTTCACTGTAGCAATCCATTGGCAGTTTCCTGGTCCCTGGGGACCAACTTTTAAACAGAACTTCTCCATTTGTATTTTTATATAAAACTGTGTGAAAAAGCAGTAAATTCATGCTGCTGCAGTGTTGCTGCATTGTCTAGGAGTGACAGTGAAATCAAGCCATCCTCCAGCCCCTCTGTGCTTTCAGTTTCAAACAAGCAGCTGATTCTTGGTCCTCTGCTTGCTGGCAGCTCAGCTCCTTGCAGTGTTCTTCATGACCCAGATCCATTCCCTAAGTGTCCTCCTTAATGCCTGCTGCAGCCTGTTCAATCCAGGTCAATTCAATCCAATCTGTGGCAGTGGCTCCACCCCCACATGGAGGAGGTCTCTGCACACAGCATCTCACACCTACCTCCTACCTCAGCAAACAAATCACTTCAGTCCTTTCATGAATTTTTCATCATCAACAGCAGCTTTGCTGTAACTGCTGGTCTCCCTCTTCCCTTGGCAAAAAATCACCCTTACTCTGAGAGCAAATATTTAGCTAGAACCTCACCCAGTAACTTGCTCCCTTCCCCATCACACAAGCTAAACGCTAGAGGCTTCATTAAAATCTCACACTGCTCATCATTCTTCAACTTCATAACACAGGGCAGTGCTGTGCACTATTTAGCTTGGACCATCAAGGACATGAGGAAAGAGCTGTTTATTTTGTTTTACTTAATTAAACATAGAACATCTAGCACAAAACAGCCTAGTGACTCAACTCCTTGGTGTAAACACAGGTAGCTAAGAGTAGCCCTGGCCCTCACAGCCATCTCACTGTCACATTCCCCTGCTACAGCTGAGAGAGCAGACAAAGATGGCACTGAGCAACTGCATGATCCATTCCAAGAGAGATCCCTTGTAAGAGATCCACTGCATCACATTTCTGTCCCTGCAGCCTGGGGCGGAGGCATTTCTAAAGCATCAGGCCGCTTCTCTTCAACCTCTTTTGCAGCCTGTGCTGCTCTGGCCACACAAAGGAAGTCTTGACAGTGCCACTAAAAGTCACATCCTGTACAGAACAGGCTGATCTGCCATGGACAACGCACGCTTGATGGGAAGCAACTTGCAGCACACTACTCAGACAAAAGGCAGAGATCAAGCCAGCACTGAGGTAAGGCCATCACAGCCCAAAGCAGCCACCTGGTTTGTCCCAGCTGCTAGAAACAGATCACTCTCACTGGTGGCATTGCTCCTCACTCCTGCTCTGGGAACAGCTGTGATGATGGCTCAGATCAACAGAAAGCTCTGCCACCTGCTTCTCATCAATCCCAGTCAGAAGAAGGGCCACTCAAACAGCTCAGAAGAAAGGAACGTGCTTTGGGCTGCAGAGAAGCAGCCAATATCAGTACAAAGTGCTTGGCAGGCAGAACATGGGAAGGCAGGTATAAGGCACAGGGATGTGGACATCCAGGTCGATTTATTACACAAGAAATAAAATTCCTATTAAAAAAAAAATCCACTTGTGGATGCTGGCGCTGGTTTTACAGGATGGGCCTCATGGTGACAAAACCGAAGTTGTAGGACTCGGGCAGGCCCTGGTGCCGCGTGCGGTTGAAGCGTCTCCAGCTGAAGACCGGGAGACCGCCCTGCACCGGAGGGCCATTGATGGCCGAGGCCGTGAACGCTGCAGCCAGGCGGAAATCCGACACCTGGAACAAAGGACAGGAACCCGGGGCAAAAGGGCAGCGTGAGGCTTGGCACATCCCCATCCCAGCCAGCAGGAACAGCTCCGGGAGATTTCATTATAAGGTGAGGGAAGAGAGCACAGGGAAACACACACAGGCAGCAATTCCTCCCCTGCGCAGAGGCACCTCCAGTCACACAGCAGCCAGTGCTGAAGGGCACCAGCAAACCACAATCCCACACTTGCCCTTGCCAGGCTGAAAGAGCCAGAGCATCTGCCCTCAGGCCAACCCTCCCTGATTTTACGGGGCTGCAGCAGGTGGATGAGGGGTCTTCGCTAAGCTCTGCTGCATGTTGAGCACTTGGGCCATCCCCGGGGCATGTCAGGGCAATTCGGGAATGGAGAAGGGCAGCAGAATTAATATTGCTACCCAGGCTCTGCACTGCTCCTTCATGGTCTCCAAAGAGGCCCCAAGCCTCCTCCATCTTCCCAAACTCAGACACTAAATATGTTGGTAGGGTTTATAACTAGAACAGGTTTGGCCTGTGCTCTGGGTCATTTCTTGCAATGCCCCTCTTAAGCCCCCCATTCCACCTCCAGCCCAGCCCATTCTCCTTGCCTAACTGTGCTGGCTAGGCACTGCAGCAGGCATTGACCACTCCCTTACCAGACCCCCTCTACAAAGCCATTTTCTGCATTCCTCTTGTATTACCCAGCTCTGGGAATCTCCCACTACTGTCCACTGCAACACACAGCTGGCTGGACACAGCAATGGAGATATTAAAATAGCCCCCCCAGTTCCACCCTAGCAACCAAACTCGTAATCCAGAAATGCAGCAAGCTGGACCCCACAGGATAAAACACTGAACAACTTTTCAGCACAGCTGCTTACTTGGGCACTGCTCTTCAGGTGAAAATATCATATCACCTGCCTAAAATAAATGCTGTTTTCTCCAGAACAGTGGGTCTAAGGATTTTCCCACATACCCCTAAAGTGCAAAGTGATCTTCACCAAACTTTTGAGAAAGCAGTTTTGCAGAGAGGTGGAGCCCCAGAGTGGGGTAGCTTACTAGAGAGCCAGGCTTTTGTAAATGTAAACCTAAAGTGAGACTGCAACCCCTTTGCTGTGGGCTCTGGGAGGCACCCACAGAGTTCTAATGAACAGGAGGCTGAAGCTGTACAACAGTCTCCTTCCCTGAGTGAGCTGAAGACTCATTTCTTGCTGTAAGGATTTGGAATTTAACTCCTGAACACTACAAGCTCCCATGGGTTAAGTTGCTTCATACATCTCCCCCTGTATCCTGTGTCACTGTGCCAGGACTGATGTCAGGGACAGGAAATGAGACTCTGCAGAGAATTCCCACCTGAGGAGGTGCCCAAGCACTGGGACAGCATGAAAAGAGGGAACAGACATGCCTGGCCATGCTTGGCCTGGTGTAGGGAAGCATGCTACAGGTCTGACAGGAGCACAAACAGGCTGCAGCCAGCATTCAGCAGATATTGGAATTGAGGCAATTTACCTTGGTGTCATAGCAGCCTGCAGGCACTGGTATAGAAGGATTCAGGTCTTCCCGGCAGCAAATGGTGTTGCAAGGATTGTGTTCAGCATAAGGATCATGCTGATAGTCTGGGGTGAAATGTGGTGGGAAGAGCAGAAGAAAAGAAAAAAAGTTAGCCCCCTCACAGAAAGCTGATGCCAAGTACTGGAGCCACTAAAAACTGGGTAACTGCACTCTGTCACATTGCTTTTGTGCTTCTCCACAGGTACCAGCTACATGACATTAAGTAGACAAGCTCCTAATTCAAGACCATAAAGCTACTTCTGCAACCCAGGGGCACCACTGCCAACCTCTAACTACAAGTATCTGCAATACCACCTGATGAAATTCTACATGACAAAAGCTTGTAGAAGCTTTCTTAAGAGAAAAGCAGAAGAGAAAGGGAAGTGGCAGGTGGGGGGTAGGGAGAGAGAGAGGGGGAAATGAGAGCCTTTGTTTTCCTGTTCTGGATTAAAATAAGTGCAAAGAAGCAAAACCTTTGAACACCCACTGCAGTAACTGCAAGTCAGGAGGGGAAGGTGGTGAGCTCAGCATCTACGAGCATGCAGCTACTCACAGCTCAGACAGGAATGACACCCCACCCTGGGAGAGGCCTCCCAAACCTCAAGTCCAGTAAGCAGTACACTCCCTGTAATTGGGAATAAAAATATAGCATCTAAAGCTATCAGTACTCTGAGATGGGCTTAGCCAGAAGTTAATTAAGCGGGGTTTAATCCAGTTAAGGAGAGCCCTGTCAGGAAAAAACAACAGAGCATTACCTGCTGTCCTGGTTCAACCCCTGCTGGCAACTAAGTAACACACAACTGCTCATCCACATCCCTCCAAACCCCACCCCTCATGGGATGGGGAGAAGAATTGGAAAAAGGTAAAAACCATGGGTTGAGATAACAACAATTTCAATAAGTGAATTGTTAATAATAAAAATTAAAAAGGAGAGGGAGGGCAAGAGAAAAAATCCTTAGAGAAAGAAGTGATTCACAATGCAATTGCTCACCACCTGCTGACCAATACAATGCCCTTTCCTGAGCAGGGATCAGCCCCTTCCAGCCAATTCCCACAGCTTACACAGTAAGTATGAGGTTCAATGGTATAGAATATCCCTTTGGCCACTTCAGGTCAGATGTACTGGCTTTGCTCTGCCAGCTTCTTGTGCATCTGCTTGCTGGAAGAGCATGGGAAACTGAAAAGTCCTTGACTCACCAACAACTAAAACATTGGAGTTTAAATGATAGAGCTATCAACATTATTCTCATACTAAATCCAAAACACACTACTGTATTAACCACTTAATTAAGAAAATTAACGCTATCCCACCTGCAAAAGACCATTTGCCTGAACATGGGAAAAGACCTCAAGTTTTACACTAAATTCTCTGGTCTGATCACATCTAACTGTTGCTTAGGACTTAAGGCTTTCAAGATTGACAGGCTGTAGATGTATTAGGTGATAGCAGTCCATGAGGTCTCTTGGAGTACTCTCTTGGAGTCAGAAGCTTTCTGGAAAAGTCAAATAACAAGCCCAAGGGGCCTTGCTCTTGATAGGAAACTTTAGCCCAGTTTCCTACCTCCAAAGTAAGCTTGTGTCACCTTTTTACTTTGTGTGTATTCTGCATTTAGGACAAAATAACTGATCTGTATGTGAGGTTGCAGCTTCCCACTATAATCCAAGAAATAAAAGTAACTCTGCTTATTAAGATCAGCTCCACAGCACACAAACAGGTGTCTTACTGTTGTATCTCATGATGTACTTCATGCTTTCCAAGTTGGTCACCTTGCCCTGGTCTCGACGGAAGATTTTGGCTCTTGGAGCAAGGTCATAGGAGAAATCCATGCCATACTTGACAACGTACGATGCATACCCACTGAGATTGTAAATCTTTTCATGGAAAGGGATATTGTATGAAGGCCAGTAACCTGTCAAAGACAAATCCCAATCTATTAATCACTTGAAAAAGCTGGATGCCCTTGCTTGTATCAGAAAAGAAAATAATTAATTGTCCATGTTCTATTGCCTCACCAGCATGTCGAGGAACAACACAGAAAACTGGTTTGAACACAATAAGGAAACAGTCACTGGCATGACCAGGGCTGACTCCCAGCCTAACACCACTGGAGACTGCATACCCAGGCAACCCGCCCCCAGACTTCCAGCCTCAGGACTCATCCTGCAAAACAGCTGAGATCAGACTTGCAGCAGCCTGAACATGCAGCATGGCCACAGCCCTCTGGCAGAGGTTTCCCTGCTGAACCTTAAAGGACTGCAAAATCATTTACCTCCACCAAACTTCACAGTGAGAGGCCTGAAGTCACTCTGGTTTTGCCCCCTTCCCATCTTACCGAAGCAGAACACACCATGCTGAGATGTCAGGGAGGGACTGACACACACAAACACACGGAGACCACAGACACTCAAGGTGAACAGGAGGCAGGTCAGCACACACACGCTTTGTGCAGTGGGGGTTGCACATAGCCATAAAGAAAGATGGGGGATTGCTGCACATTTGGCAGTAGCTGCCTTTGAAGGTTAAGAAGTGATCAGCAGAGCCTTGCTCTAACTTTTCCAAAAGCAATCCTGCACAAAACTGCCTGAAAGAAGACCATTGTGGAAAGCTCTTGTAAAGAACCAGGAGACGTTCCAGGTCAGAATCTGAGTACAGGAAGTCCTAGAATATATAAAAATAGATAACTATACCTTAACATTTAATTTTTTCTATTGTTTAGGCAGCAAGTATATAACATGAGCTAGGTCCCAGAGTAGCACACTTTCAAGTTGTCTCCAAAGCACTAACATTCCCTTGTTGTTCATTCTCAAATCACACACATCAGGATTTGGCTTAGAGATTTACTATCTAGGCACTGGTAAATGCAGGCCTCTACATATTAAAATCAGCCCAGCATAGTGTGAAGAGTCTGGTGTAAGAAGCTCAAAAAAATCAACTGGAACTCACCGGGAGCAATACACACAAATACAAACCGAAGGATATGCAGACAGCATAAGCAGTGGAGCGCTGTCTGAGTGGAGGCCTCACCAGCTTGGGTCCTGCCTGGGATAGGGAAGACAGGGTATTCCTGTCTGCTGGCATTTGCTTACGTGACCTAGAGCCTACCTGAAGGAAACAGGTTGTGTACAGGCTGTGTTGTAACACAGGCGTCCTCCAGAAATGAGCAACTTGCCAGCCTGTAACGACGCAGGCCCAAGGACACGGATACATCAGCTTCCAAACCAGTAAGGTTTAGTTGTGATTCAAAAAGGTGCTGCTGTCTCACATGAACACAGTGCGTACAGATGACCTCTTTCTCCCACCTGGAAAAACTTGTTAAAATTGCTAAAACAGAGAAAGCTATTAAAGTTCCCCTCTAGCAAGAGCTCTTCTGTGTCTTAGGCTCTGCCAAACTGCAAATCCCATGCAAAGAGTGCAGCAGACAACCTAAGCCAGGCTTTACTCAAGGGCTGCTATGAGCCAGTGAAACCTGGCAGGGTGCACAGTGACAAAAAACAAGTCAAGAGAGACTGTGAGGTTGAAAGGAAGGGATGACATGAAGACAGCAAAAAATCCCTGAATCAAAATGCTTTCCTCCTCTGCACTTAAGAGAGTAAAAGGTATCAGCAACATGGAGAGAGAGCAATAAGAATATTGCACATATGGCAGAAGACACACAGATCCCAGGCTTTGCTCTGATGTGTTGATGTTGATATACTACTCATTCACCATCAAGAAAAATGAAGTGCAGCCTATTTCTGTGACCTACTCCTTCTCTTCAGACAGTGTTGCCCTCCCTCACCTCCTCTAAAGGATTTCTGAGCTTTCTTTGTCAATATACAGAAAGCACCCAGACATCTTTGCCTGGAAAGGGCAATGTAAGAGATTCCTGGTATTGAGAACTCATCTGCACTGCCCTACAAAAACGACAGAAGCCATAAAGAAAAAAAATCTTTCCATTTTCAAACCTGCATAAGGAAATGCTTCATTTTTCCTCAGTACAATGTTTACTACAGCAATACCTGCTTTTGTTCACCTGAGATTTCAATTCTCATTCTCTTTTGTTTCTAGGTTTATGCTTCAAAGAGACTTAAAAAGCAGATGCTGGTGGCAAACTCACTCTGACCAAACTAGTGTGCCCAAAGTGCATTATCTTGGGACACCTGTTACATGGCAATGATGGAGCTTGCCAGGGTCAGCTATTCTACAAAGTCTTTAAGCCAGCAGTGGTATTGAGAAAGATAAACTTCCTTCACCTGAGCTGCTTCAAGCACCTGGGAACAGGGCAGGGGCCTTGATGGGACTTGTCTGGTGTCCTGCATGGCATGGAGGAGTTCAGATCTGCTGCTTACAGCAGCTGAGGTCTCCAAACCTGCACTTTGGCAGGGCTTAGCTTACCCTGAGTGTTGAAGGCTGTCCTCCTAATGTTTAAATTCCCAGAGAATGACTGCTCTGTTATCCAGTATGCACAAGGTACACTTAGATATCTGGGAAAAGACATACTGTAGGTATGAGGTGTAACTTCTGTAGGTAATTTGTAACTACTAATACATGCTGCCACCTTTGAGAACAGAGCAGCTGCAACATCTCAGAGGGAAGAAGTGGTCACTATGTGTCCAAGCCCAGGAGTTGGGCTCAGTCCTACAGAGAATGCCACACAGCTGCTCCAAAATCATTGCTGAAAAGGAACTCAAGGTACCTGCCAAGCCTGGCCTCTCTGCACAGGTATAGCACTGCCATGCTGGGGCTGCAATGTTTCCAGTGCCAGAGCTAGAGGGCCTCTATCAGCTGCTTTGTCTGCATCCCACACACAACACAGCATTGAGAAGCCCAAGGCAAAGGAAGCCAAAAGAGACCGACAATGTGGCAATGCCTGGAATAAGCCAGAACTTTCCAAGAAGCTAGACACAAGGAAAAATTTCAAAGAGAACTAACCCCAGCTGCTAACATAGACAAATTTCCCATCATTTTGATGATGAGCAATTCATCAATTTATCCCCTCAGCATGTGATTAGGGGAAGGAGCACAAAGCATCAGACACACTTAAGGCTCAGGCTTTTTGTTGATGTTCTAAGTGTCTAGTAAACACTTGAAATTAAACCTGACAGTGAATGTTCTACTTGACCAAGATTTTTGTTTGTTTTCCATCAAGTTCTTGCCAGTCTTGCTAGGGAATTAAAGAACCTTTTAAAAAGCAAATATTTATCAGAAAACAGAGATCCAGAAAAGTTCAGGAGATTAATTTAACATACAAGTTCTTTGGTATTCAAAATTTCATCTTCTTGCAGGGTGACCGACTCAACAATCATTTTGAGTAGCCCATAGCATCACAGTTATTTAGTACTGCCCCAAACAGATCTCACATTTTCCCTCATTGGTCTCTACAACAGGGAAAAATAATACCAGAAAAAAGGCAAGGATGCAGACAAGCAAAGAGACAAAGTCTATTTTTCCCTCCTCTGCTTCTAGGAGACACAGATGTTTACTGCATTCCTGCCACAGCATACCAGATAAATGAATAGATTGCAATTCACCCAGATGCAGAGGGATGCTCACACAAAGCTGAGGGTTGCTCACACAAAGCTTCCTTACTTTAAACTCAGGACTAGTGTTCAACAAACCCCTCCCTGGTACAAAACACAATTCTCAGTAAGCATAAAGAGATGGTTTTCCTAAGCCAGTAACTACTATAGGAGCTATTACCTTTCCGGAGAACATTTGTTTGATCAGAATACTCCACAAGGGTGGGGATCTGCTCCACAATGTACAATGCACCATCATCGAGGCTCCTCTGCAGCTTGACCTTCTTCAGGTCTAGAACCATGTACTGATTGTTGTAGGTTCCTGGGTACAAGAACAGAGAGAGTTACATGTCCTGCCAAGGGAAGGAGACATGCACAAGAGGTAGAGGGAACACATCTTTTTTCCTAAGATGCATATACAGGTGTACTTACCAGAGTTGCACTTGGAGAAGGTCTCTGCCCAAGTTTTGCCATCATTTGCCATCATGTTGGCAATGCGGACCCTCTGCCAAGCTAGCAAGGATTCAGGCACCACTTGCTTAATGAGGGTTTCATTATAAACACTGTTGGTGGTCTGCAACATTACCAAGCCGCTGCCCAGTATGTAAAAGTCATCCAGGGACACCAAAAAGCCTTAAAAAGCAGTAACACAAAACCTGTTATCTTTGTGAACCTTTGATATACTCATAGAACAAAACAGAGATAAGTGATGAGGATATGGATGAGTCCATGCGTGTGTGTGCGAACTTAAACTGTACAAAGATTAAAGATGAGGTAGTAACTTCTGCAAGGGCTTTGGGCCCACCTGTCAACACAGTTTGAAATGAGAAACTGTCACGCTTTCAAGACACCTAATTCTTTGTCTAAAGCATTTGCTTTGTGTTTGTATGCCAAGCCTGGAAGCTTCTCCATAAGTCAACCTATGTCTTATGCTAAGGATTACATACCTTAAATGCCTGTCAAGTGTTTGTTTCTAACAAAGAAGTGAACTAAAAACATATAAAAATTCAACAATGAAAACCAAAGCAAAGCACAAACTCCACAAAAACACTTTCATCAACCAGTATCAGTTTTAGATTTTTACTCTGTAAAGACAACATAAATTCATTTAATTAATTTGAATTAATCCCCTTAATTCCTTCTGTATTAAATCAAGCAGAACAATCTTCCTTCTAGTTTAATCGTCTTCTAAGTATTCTTAAAAGCATCTCAAGACACAGGCATCTCTTAAATCATAAACCACATCCTGTATATGAGGAGAAGGTCTACCTACTCCTCTTCCTGACGTGTTGTCACGGGGGTTTTTTATTCCTGCCAGCTCTGCAAAGTCAATACAGTGATGGATCTGTGGGCAGGATTCCCTTCCAGGTTACATGCCAACAGAAGTGCTAGGTCCAGCTGCAAACCCTTTGCCAGGAGGTGGCATACAGAGCTGCAAAGGTCAGCTATATGCCTTGGATAGTATGGGGACTACTTGTAGAGCAGAAATAACTTGGCCTTTAGATTACTCAGCAGATACATGGCTGCCAGGCTGGGGAAGAAAGGTTGTTAAGCAATCTGGTCATGGGGAAGTCATACAGAGCCTAAACTCTTGTTAAGAAGTTTTTAATAGCATCCATCTTCAAAGAATACAAAATGCTAAAATGCTGTGTTACACCATAATAGTTGAGCTCCGCTATGAAATCTTCCACAGCAAACTTTATTAACACAAACTGCAAAGGTCACCAACCTACAACAGCATGAGAGACAACCCAGCTTTGCCTCCTACTCCTGGGCTTTTATCAAAAGGCAGACCACCTTCAAGCAAAAGTAATCTTTAAGGGCTCTAGTTCAGCAAAATTTCTTTAAAGAAGTAAGTTCTCAAATTAGAACAGATCCAGGAACATACACTGTGTGGACATCTGTTCTCTAAAAAAATATCAGTATAGAATAGACTGAGCACCCTGGTATTACTCATGGAGAGAGAGGTAATACATTATGTACATTATCAGCAGAGATCTCCCTCAAATAAGTAAGGAAATGAGAAACATCCTAAACTTGGCTCTGCCAGTCCATTTTACACAAGGACTTGGGATACTCTAGCAATAATCTGCTGCATAACAAGTCAAGTGGTGCTTGCCCAAACACAGGCAATAATTGAAATTTTTGAAACAATTGTGATGTGAATTGAGCATCAATTCCTGCGGGTGACAATGCCAAGTGTCCTACTTCAAAACAAACGAAGCAATTTCTCTCTCCAATTTCAATCAACAGCTGAGATAGAACAGAAAAACTTGACTCAAAACAAGTGCTAACACAAGGAATGATGCTGAATTAATTGAAGGTTGAACTCTGTAATTCAAATAAACTGCAAAGCTCAGCTAAGCTGAAAAGAAGGAGATTTCCTTCTGGGTCTTAGTATTTATCAAGTTTTATCCTGAAATGTTTTATAACAAAACATGCCCTCCATTATACACCATTACCAACTTAATAATTCCAAGATGGCATTTTGATTTAAGGCATAGGCAACTCTGAAACAAAGGGAAGCTAAAATACAAGCAACAGGTTACCCATGGTATAAAGACATCCAGAAAAATAAAACCTGGGCAGAGAAGTCTAGAGATATCAGCAGATGTTTGATGTCCTCTTGAGCCATTCTTCTAAGTGTGTATGAGAATCTGTTGTAAATGAAGGTGTTATCTCACTGTATGCTTCTTCTATGTTTTTCCTGTAAAACCATCTCTGCAAACCCACTTCCCATTTTGTTAGGAACACTCAATCAAATTTGTTTTATTTCATTGTTTTTTGGGTTTTTTTTTAACCCCTCCCTCCAATGAACCTGACAACTCCACAGAGAAACAAGCAAAAGTACTTCTGATTGCATTTTCTGGATCTGATCCATTTAGATTCCATTTCCAAATGCTACTGGAAAATGGAAGTTTCCAGAACATGGAGTTGCACTCACCATGACATTAATCAGCCAAGCAAAGCATTTTTTGCAATCTGAGCCACAGTGTTCTCCAGAAAGTCAGCACATCAAAGAGCATGTGGGTGGCAGCACGTTCTGGGGTACTATTGTTCTGAAAGAGGTAGACTGCTGCTTTCTGAACCAGACAGCATCAGCTTTTTTGATGTTTTAAAAGGTCACTGTGCTCTTTCAAGTATAGCATGGGTCAGCTTTACTGGCTGGAAGTCAAAGCTATGAGGTCTAGCCCACCTCTCAGGACTGGGAGTAGCTCCTAGCTGAGATGCCCAATGCTCTAGTGTATAAACACATTTGAATATGGGAAAATAAAGGTATTCTCTGGATTAGCAGAGAATCAGCAACTGCCTCTCATGTCAAGACTGAACACCCATCAGCTGCCTCCCTTCCACTTGCACATCTCTCCTAGACACTAAGAACAAGCACACACCACACCACAGCTCTGGTCTCATCTCCAAAGCTCACCACACCTTCCTTTGCTTCCCTCCAGGTTTTGAACACATGCTGGAGAAAGCAGAAAATGCTCTGGCAATACCTCATGAGCAAGGTACTCCTGAGAAAAAAGGCTACCATCTTTTCCATGGTTTGTTCCTCCCAGCTCTTCCTCACACTGTGGGGAAGGATTATGCTGCATTAACACCAGATTGCTTCAAAGCAAGGGACACAAACTACCTCTCTCTCCTGCCATAGTATGGATAGACAGATGGATAGATATGACATGTATAGTCAGCCATCAAGACAACTTGTGCCATCTTACTCGCACATCAACACCTAGCTCAACCCAGAAAGATCCCAATAATGGACCAGAGGAGGAAAGGTGGAAGTAAAAGTCTTCAACTGTTCTTCTTCAGCTGTTTTGTTTAAGCTGCTAAAATCAAATTAACTTACTTTAAAAGACCATGTCTCAGCACAGAGAAGGTAGTTCACTATCCAAACCAGAGCGCTTAGTCAAAATGGCACATTCCTGCTCTTAAATGGAGCTCAAAAGAGCTCCATCCAAATGGATGAAAATCCTGGAAGCTGCAACCCCCCTGCTATCCAAAGAAAATCATAAATTTTATCAGTTAGTCTGGCTCATTTCTTTGAATGCCTCAATGGGCAGTGTAAAGAATTGACCAGAGGTGAGGAGGGAAAGGGGCACAGAGGGAGAAGTGCAGGTTCCTGTCTGATCCACCACTAGATATGTGGCACAAAACATAGAACCTACCTCGTCTCTATCACTTCCTTACTCCCTCACATGAGCACAGCTTCATTCAACATTTGTGAGGAACAATAACATTCTCTGTACAATTTCAGTTCTCTCTGCTATGCATTGATTCACAAGCCACAGGAAGTACTCATGTCCAGAGCTTGAAGAAGAAAATGAAGCTCAAGCTTACAGTTCAGAGACATTCCTCCTTTCCAAAGGTTCACAGAACTGTCCTATGTGCAGCTCTGCGGACAAAGACTATGAGCAGAGTTCAAGTGATAATTAAGGTGAGTTAGTGTGGAAATGAGCAGGAAGTAAAGAAATCATTCTGCAAAAACAGAGATTACAACTCCCATTAATTCCCACTTGACTGTGCCTCTGCAGGACTACCGCTGCTCTGAAAGGGAGAAAGCAGCAGAGAAGATATGCTGTTAACAATGGACATTTGAACTTGGTGGCAGAACACTGGTAACTGCTGGGGAAGCTGGGATGGACTCTACTCCTGCCTGTCCTCCTACCTGCTCACTCACAACATGAGCAAAGAAGTGCAAGGCCCTCCAGCTGCACCACAATGCACACCCTAACACAAATCATGGTTAGTCAATAGCCTCAGAACCTCTAAACTGAGTCACAGGTAATACTAATTTTTGCAATCTAGTAGCCCATCTTTTGAAATTCAGTAAATAAAGAAATAATATGGATAATTGTATTCTGTGACCCCAGGAGAAATCATGGATTTGGCATATCCCTTCTCAGAAGACAAATGACCCCTTAACATTTTCTGACACACCTTTTGGATAGCAGCATAGTTTTACTCTATATCCTATCTTACTGGATGACAACAATCTTTGAATAACTCAGTTAAGTGTCACTGAAGGCCTAGAAGGGCACCTGTCTTTTAGTGCTCTCTGTTTCCCCCAGAAGTTAAAAGTTCTATGTCCATAGGATCAGGTGTCCATACTATTCAGGTGAGATTACTAGGTAGGCCTTTCTTACTGGTTCTTATGTCTATCAGGACAGAGACTAAAAGCAGGAACATTTATGCAAGTAGACATTACAATTGTCAGGCCAAACCATGGCCAGGAGCTGCAGATTCCAGTCAGGTGTTCTGAAAATATCTCTCATCATAACATGGAGCAGAGGAATTTGGCAGTTGCTCCTTCCTACGTGACGTTCCTGGAGCATTACTAGGCCAGTGCTTACTCATGCCATGGTAAACTGCAGGGCTGTGAACTACACCCACAGCTAATGCAATATGCTGCAGTCAATGGAACATGCTTGTCTAGTGCTTGTGATAGCACCCTGTCATCAGTGAGCACCCTGTGCATGCCACAGGCCTCTCTTAACTTCACTGTAGCCATGGGAACTATGCTTTCCAACAGTTCTTATTCATCTTATTGGTAGAAGTACACCTTCCCACACCACTATGTTAGAGTCCACATGGCAATAGCAGGCTTTAAAATCAGCCACCTCTGCAGACCTCAGCCCTCTCAGGGAAGCACAGTGTGATTTTGTATACCAATGAACAGACCCCCAACTGTCGCCCAGATTTTTTAAGATTTTCTAAGCCTTCTGATGTTTACATTCTTGTAGCAAACTTTCTCACACACTTTCTGTAAATAACTTATTGTTTGGCATTCTTTTGTGGAGGAGGAGAAATTTGATGGACTGTAAGTTTGTCCAGTGTCATTGGAGATGTGGCACTTTCACCCTCTAATCCACTGTCACTTTTGGAAAATTGTAAGTGTTGGAGTCAGAAAACAAACTTTCCCTTTTCTTCACCTTGAGAGCAGCAGTGTGTGCGGTTGTTTTGTTTCGTGTCCTATAGTGACACCAACCATTTCAGCAAAGCCGTAGCTGATTTTCAGGTATCCTGCCACACACTATGCTTTGCCAGTCTCATAAAACCATAATATTTTTATTTCCTTATACAAAGAATCCACAAAAGGGGACAACTGAAATACATCACCATGGACATCCACTAAAAATAAAATAATAAATGCTCTGTGTGGCTGATCATGATTCCCAATTTTGAATCTGCAACACAATGCAACATACAACAGTTGCTAAACAGAGCCACATTCTTGTGCTCTCAGTACTATCATCAGTATTTCAGCTGAGAGATATGAGAGCCAGAATAACCTCATGAACATTCACGTGATAACCAGAGCTCAGAAACCTTTGCTTTCAACCAAATTACACAGACTCGGCAAAATTCCTTGCAACAAGCAAGTGAAATTCCTCTGAGGCAAGCACAGATAATCCAAGCTCTTCAAAGGCTGTGCACTCAAGAGACATTCAGGCTACCTCTACTCCCTTCCTCAAATTAAAAATCTCAGATGTCAGAAAATACTGCATTCCTGAGGAGGCTCAGACTCTCACAGAAAAAGACTTGTTTTCAATGAGAAATGAATGCAACTGCTTTTCAAAACATTCTCCCAGTCACAGTCTCAGGAAACCCTGCCATGAAGAACCCTTGCCCTTACAGTAAAGCACCATTACTCAACAAAGCACATTTGGAAATCATCAGCCAACAAAATTTCATGAGAATGAGAGAGTCTGCTATAGTATTTACTTCATTTAAAATGTTTTATAAAGATTTTTGACTGTTTAGGTATTTTGGAACTTGAAATTTCACCTCTAAAGCCTTATGCAATGTCAGCTCTAAGAGGGAGTCACAGATTTCCTTTGGTTTTTAACGCTCCCATTTCTTGATGGTATTCTGTACTACCAAGAGCACATATTTTGCTCCTCAAACATTACTTGCTGGCAATTTCTAACATTTGGCCTAATCTTCCCAAAAGAATATTTTTCTAAATATTTTGGCTGGCTATATTACTAACACACCAAATAAGCATTAAAACATACTCTCCTCTGCAACAGCTTATAGAGAAGCTGGAAAAGGAAGATGTAGGGAGAAAGGGAAAAAAAACCCCAAAAAACAACAAAACAACTGAAGGCTCTTGAACCCAAGATCAAAGAAACTGATACACTTCCAAACAGCAAGTGTTTGATACTCAGTAATAATCCTATTACAGTAGGAGTCACGTCACAGTGGTAAACAGAAGCACTCAAAATTGTTGTTACCAAACATGCAAATGCTACAGGCATGGTGAGGAGTTCAGCACTTGAGATGACTGCAGACTACACAAGCAGAATTCAAAGCAGCATGTTTGTGCCAGAGGTAAAATATTTAACCAGTATTATTCAGAGCACTGAAGGTGATTAATCAACAACAAAAGACAATGACAACAATATCATGCTCAAGACAGAAAATTCAAGCTGGCATTTTGTCCTCTTGGTTGCTAAAAGTTCTAAGGTAGATTGAAGCCAGTGCTTCCTTTCGCAGCCAGGACAGCTACAAGACAGTAAGGTGGTCCATATTAAATTGAATATCTACATATTTTTGGTTTTCTTGACTTTACCTGGGTAACTACTGAATGAGACCCGGCCAGTGCTGGTGTATGGATCAACTATATTGAAGTTCCAATGCTTATATATTCTCAGTGTGGCTGCATAAGTAAACCAGCTGGAATGGGCAAAATATATATTCTCATATCCAGGTAGAACCTGGAAAACAGAAGCAGAAAGATTAATAATTTCAGACCTCATGATATTCTGCATGTTTTCTACTTGATAGAAACTGGGAGAACTACTTGTTTTAAGTAGTTTGATTAATTGCATTATTGAAGAAAGAGCAGATTCTTGTGCTTTTAGCTTGTACTAAATGAATTTCTGAAACCTATAGAAACAATTCTTACCTATGTGTTGTTTTCAAAATAAAACATCGTGGGGTTATTTGGGATACCTGCATCACATGGTATAGGTTTTCCTCCAGTTTCATTTGGAATATTTCTATTCACACATTCAAATCACATCTTTTCAAATATATCTGACATCAATTTAAAACATGCTGTTTCTGTGAGAATTGCTCTGGCTCACTTTAAAGTGAAGTACAGAAGCAAATGCAAGTAAATTTCATTTGAAAAGGTAAATATATATGTTGATAGTACATATTTTCAAAATATGTCCCTGGTTCTACGATTTGTTGTTAGCTCAGAAACCTCTTACTGTAAGCAAATACTTTAGTTCATGTTTCTCAATTTAAGGTGAATATTGTTACTCTGCCATACATTGACTCTCTGGATGCTGATTAAATCTTCTTAGCAATTTTAACTGAAAAATGTAATTGCCAACATGATGCATCAGTCACTTATCTTAAAACTGTGGGGTTTTTTTCTGTCATCACTCCTACTGGAAAGCCATTCAAAGGTATCACTATTAACAGAAAACATCCGCCACTTGCATCCATTTGTTTTTATGTTAGCACTATCCGTTACTTTAAATAATCCTTTTCCTTTTTTTCCCTGCTTGTTTGCCCAATGTATTTGTAGTCACTCACAACATCTCTTTTCAGACTTCACTTCTCTAGGTGAATGAGTTATTCCCATTTAGTCTCCCCTCCCTGGTAGTTCCTCATTCCCTAGTAGTTCTAGCAGCTTTTCAACATCCATCTCTGTGGTTTTAGTTCAGTCTTTTCCCTCCCCTTGAACTCAAGTGAGAAAAACTGGACTCAAAATCCTGTAGAGGCACAAATGACAACTGCATATATGCATCTTGATCATTGACAGAAGTCTCTTTATGCACATGCAACATGAACAGGGAAGACGGAAGACTCCAGAAATGCAGACTCATGACACTGCAAACCAACACAGTCACTGGAGATTAAGTTCTGGTGCTCACCTTGATCAGTGCAGAGCAGTGTCCCATGTCCCACTGGTATCTCCCATGGCCTCCTGAATCCACACTGCATTGTCTACCTCGTGCAGAATAATCAAACAATGCAGGAATAAGGTCCAACAGGTCTCCAACTGCATTCAGAAACTGGACATCAAAGTTGCTCAGTGGCTGAATAAAGGAGAAGATGACAAAGAACACTTTGAGACAGAAAAACATCAAGACAGCCTCAGTGGTTAGAATTTTTCTTTTGCTCCAGAAGGAAGCTCTCATATGGCCTATGAAATGCCTACTGACAAGGCCCAGGTGCTCACACTCACTATGGCACCAGGCACTGAGGAAGCTTTCAGGATCTGGCCCTTGTAGTGGCATTACCAATGCTACAATTTCTCAGGCAAAAAGGAAGATGTAACTGTAACTAAAGAAACCTGAGTGTGTGTTTGCAAGCAGCATGTCAATCAGTCTGTTATGATTTACTGAGATAAAATTTAATTTTTTTGTTTATCTAGATGTCTTTGAAGTGTCTTCCACTAATGGTCTTGGGAGATCTCAGACATCTATAAACACTGCAATTTAAGACATCCTCAGGACTGAGGAGGAAGAAACAAATGAGGGGAAAAATAATAATAAATACCAATCAAATAGCTGAATAAGGAAAGTCAGTCAAAAGGCACTCTGCTATGTGCTTTAGAAAACTCCTTATGGTTAGAGCTAGCCAGGGTTAACAGGGCTAACTACACACAGCTGGTTGTGCAACATGCTCTTTAGAACCTCCTCTTACTTTGCCTCTTCAAAAATAAGAGCTTAATAGTGGTTTAACCTCAACCTTCAAATGCCGTGTTCTAAATCTTTCCTGTTCTTGCTTTCACCATGCCTTTTGTTAAGGCAAGGCTTAAGAAAAAAGTCAGAACACACATCACTGTGGTGCTGTGAATAGTAATTTTATAATGCCACATAATCATTTAGCAAAGAAACACATTGCAATATAAATCACTGTTACTAAACCATATAGCTGACCTCTACAAACCCCAGTAAAGGGGGACAAGGAAAAATGAAACAGCATCAAATTAATTTACTTTTTATTCAGAATAAAAGTATTCTGAATATTTTTATATTGAATGTAATATATTAAATATAAAAATATTGAATTCTGAATTCTGTGTTATCCATCTCCTGCTTTGGCTGAAAGAATAACCAACAGGAAAACCAGAAATCATGTAAACTCCAGTCCATGCATCCCATAGGAAGGAATGAGACCTTCCCACAATGTTTACAGACAAGAGAAATAAGCCATTCTGACAATTAAAACCATTCATGGCAGAAAGCCCCAACAGCAGCTGTAGTTTGAGGGAGAAATCCAAAACAAACTTTCATGTGTTACATTGCTTTAGTTCATCATGGTTTTGCTGTAAGGATCCAAACAAGGGAGCAACATCAAGAGATGTGTCTTTGGATGGTTTAAGCAACTTAGAGGTATGAATCAGTTACAAACCAGTCACAACTTCTGTTTCATTGGAATCCATGTAGAGAGACTTGGCACTGTTTAAGCACCATTTTCCCCTATCCAGCTGCACTGAAAACCCACCACACAATAAGAAAAGGCCATTTTCCAATGTCTGATTCACACAGGCATCACTGTACAGTACCACCAGGAAGGGAGCAAACTGGCTTGCATGAGATTGCTCCAGCAATCAAGATATTTTAATTGTACTTGACACCCATTTGCTACCAAACCATATTCTCCTTCATAAAAGCTGCATTCACTGTAATATCTACAGGTAGCTACATTGATACTGCTACAGCAATGGTCAGAATTGCCTGTGTATTTTTAAAAAGTTTCACATTTCTGTGCTTTCTTACCATCACTCCAAATTAAAACTTCTGTAACTATTAGGAAATCCATTCAAATTAGAACAAAAGTGCCAAGCAATGAAGCTTTCAAAACAATAGGCACAGAAGGGTGCCCAGAGAGCAGGAGGAAAGATCCACTCACAGCACAGGTTATGCAAATTCCTAAGGCACTGGGTGAGATTAGGCTGCCAGCTGCCATAGCCAGCCAAAATATCAGAGATGTACAAGAGGACTAGGTTGTTAAGCACCCCCCAGAGTTCTGCTTTCAACTCTCTTTTGAGGGTCAAGCAAATTTTGTTCTAGTTTATTTCCAAAAATTCATTACTCTCCTTGAATAAACCTGGTTTTGTGTTTAAGACTGTCTGATGTGACATCACATCAGCACCGTGCTCCTCTGGAGCCTCAGTAAAACAATGCATTCGAACAGAAGACACAAGAACTGCACTGCAGGCCCAATTAGGAGTGGTATTAAGCATCTGCCACAACACAGCTGAGAGTGCCAGTTTTGGAAAAACTACAGCTGATTTCCAGGATATGTGAAGAAATCTTCTCTATGATGAGTTAATCAGTGTCCACTAGCAAGAATTAAACCCAAAAAACTGCATCATAACAATGCATGATATAGGGCATATTACAATTTTTTGTAATCACTTTTTCCCATCTCACTCAGCAATGTCAGAAAAACTCCTTATAAACATTATTTAGATCCTGAAGAAGAATGAATGAACTAAACTGACAAGCAGAGAGGTGGTAAAGCCACATCAAAAGTCCTTTTGCTAGAATGTCTGTCTCCTCTAGGGTGCTGTCCTGAACAGCAACACAAAAAATCAATTTGTTTGCCAATCCAAGAAAGGCAGAAATAAACTTACAAAGGGCAGCAAAAAGGAGAGAACCAGCCCTAAAGGCTTGTTTACATGGGACATTAAAAGAGGCAAGTTATTTTGTAACAATTGTTTTCCAGCAATTTGTCCAAGCCTGAGCACTCTGAGTAGAAAATAAGGAAGCATAGAGATCTATCCTGGAGTCATTCTAGTATTTAAAACTCTGACACCTCCTCATTCAAGAGTAATATCCCTGCATAGACAAGCCCAAGATTAATCACAGTGTTGGAAGAGCATTAGGCAGATGAAAAGGCTTTATGTTCTTTCAGTGCCCCTCCCTCAGAAATTGTCTTGACAAAAGGGCTGGGTTTGTTTACTGGATATAAAATGTTGCTAAACCAGATGGAATAATGTAACATTTTAACATAAAAATGTATTCAAATTTTGACATCACTCTTAATGATACCTGTAAATATCAAATTCAAAATACAGAAGTTTACAATGTACATTACCTTCATGCAGGTCTTAATGGAAGAATCTACCTAAAATAGTCCTCAGGACTCCATGCAACAAAAACCCAAAGTTTAGAACAAAACAATACAAAGCATTTCCTTCAGAAAGAATAAAAAAATATATATACTAGTGCTACTACCAAATCATTCAAAGCCCAGATTTTCTTTCTGCAGTAAGGCTCAGTTACTTGTGGCAGACACAATGGTTCTACAATATTCAAATAAAGCAATCTGAATTTTAGGGGAGAGCAGAAAAGCAGAACATTTCAGAATTACTTATGTGCACATAACCCAGCTCTCACTTAAGAAGTATCTGGCTCTGGTTTCAAACTACCATGCATACTACCAGAAAACAGAATTTAAAAATTAAAAGCAGATTAGTTATGAAACAGCTTGTTTTCATTCTCCTGAAAAGGAAATAGTTCTATAAAACTCTGCCCAATGCCCAGTGTTACAATTCACAGACTTCATTTACACAGTTGCTTTTCTTCACCCCCTTTATCTCTTTTAGCCTATCCATGTCAACCAAACACCTTCTCAGGGTTCAGGAGACCATCCTGTCTATGTATGATCAGTCATGGAGCAGGGAAACATAAGAACCTTGAAACTATCTCCTCTTCCCCTTCTCTTTCTCATGTCTCTGGTATTTTGGGAGTTAAGGGGAAAACCCTCCTAGCCTTTCTTCTACAGCATTTACTCTTATTTTAAGCTTAAGACAGTGGGAACAATTCTCCTCTACATATACAGAATAATATGTTGAATTTAGAAGTACAATAGCTTTCCCAACAGCAGATAGAACATCAGAGCATCAGGCAACCAAATACAGACTGTCACATGTTGAGTTTTGGCTTGGTTTGGGGTTTAGGGGGCTTCTTTTGTTTGGTTTGAGTGTGGGTAAAAAAAAAGGAAAATAAAAATGCCCCAATTCATACAAGAGGTATTTTTTAATATTTCTGATATTCATTACCACCATGAATTCAAACTATTGAACTACTAGATATCAAAAGATAGACTTGTTCCTGATGATGATAATCCAAAGACAATAAACACATGGAAAGGATTCTTTTATTAATGAAACAAAATAGTATCTACTAAAGGAAAGAGGTAAGAAGAGACTTCCAAAGCATTGAGGAAAATGGGCTATAGGAATCAGATTTGCTTTTAAAAACATGCAGAATTTGTTACCGAGACTTTCAGTATGAAATTTCTTTGATTGTTTTATTTTGAGAATTGAGTAACAGAAAAATATTTGTTACTGGAGTTGTTGTCCAAAAAAAACCAAAACAATTGGGTTAATAGAACTAAAGTACCATACTTAAGAAAAAAAGTAATCTACTAGGTAAATTTATTTGCACTTTGGATGGTAGATTTCTTTAATCACAAGGAATAAGGAAGATACTGGTAATGTTTTTGCTTGTTTGGTTGGTTTGTGAGTTTAGTTGGGACTTTTAAGTGCCAACAGTTTACAGAAGCCGAGCTGATTCTCAGATAAATGGATGTGCCAAATCTAGAATACCAGCCAGAAGCTTTGCAGCTGCACCTGTTTTTATTGCCCATGTAAGCTCACAGCAACAGCCTTCAAGGTCTGTTTGCTGAAGGACATGCTAACAGCAATAAATATGCACACACAGTGGTAGCCTAATCTCTCCGAAGTACTTGAAAAGTATCATGGTGTCCAACAAAATGAACTCCCTGTACTTTTACAGAACATTTTACAGAATGTCAGGTATCATTTTGATGCCAAGAAAACCTAAGAACCTGGCTGCAAGAGTAGCTGTCCAAAATATACTCAAGACAAGGACTGATGTTAACTTAGTGGCTGTGGCAAAGAGAGGAAACAGCAGCACCATTTTAAGTAAGAAATACATACACAGTGAATATTTTTGCTTTGAATAAAAGTATATGCATCTCAACATAGGTGATAATCTCCAAAGGTAAAATTGCGCCTGGCATGGAAAAAGAGTCAAAATAAATCCCACCAACTGCTGCAAGTATGTCTAGGAAAAGAAAAAATATTTCACGCATATAATTCAAGAATGGAGGACACATATATTTCAGCCTGAACCACACATCTGAACTTTCACCAAATGCACTATTCTTATACAGACATGCTAGTGAGATCTCTAAAGAGAGGATAAAAATTATTCAAACACTTCAGAGGTCAGTGCTTTTTAGTGCATAGTTAAATAAGCAAGCATCAGGGAACACACTTTGCAGGCAGGACATGCCTATCACAAAGAAATAACTCAGACACAAACCAGCACTTTTCCCTTCTCCTCACATGAATCGAAAAGATTCTAAAGCAGCAAAAAAGCCAAAAACCTGATGAGCTTGACAGGGCTCTTCAGATACATGAGTTATGAAAGGATATTAATGTGTTCTTTTCCTAGAAAGTCAAGGTTTCTGGTGTTTTCCCCTACAAACTCAGGTCCCTCAGGATGGATTTTGATTACAAACACCTTTTTTTTTCCCAGTTTGAGCTGGCTCCCCATCCATGAAAGCCCCAGAGTGACTTCTATGCAAGAAAGATGTACATTTTACTAAAATGCAATTGTTTACAATTCAGAACTCCCAGCTTCTCAAAATTCTTGGTATGATTAATCTAGGTAAGAAGGTCAACTACAATTACTCAAGTCCTTCTTTTCACACTGAAAAACCTATTAGATATTAGACTTTAGGACAGCATTATAATTGCCATATCTCTACTGGAGTTCAGGGAGTTCTGCTATTACATACAAGCTGATGATCTGGAATTTAATTCTAATTGAAATTAAAGAAAAACAAATGATGAAAAGACACCAAAAAAACCCAGCTAAACCACCACCCAACAAAACCCCAAAATCTATCCCATCTGACCCGCCACAACACAGACCACATCTTTTGTAACCATATATTTTTGAGACTTAAAAGACAGACAAGGAGAAGTCATTTAGTAAAGTAAAACATACTCCAGGATAGAAAGGCTTTTAGGATTTGAAATCTAATGCTTGGAAAAAAGAATGAAAGCTTTAATTCATGCTGTTGCAGGTATACCCAAAGGGTCATCTGCTTAATAACAATTGTAAAGTAACAGCAACAAGCACTTTAGAAGTGTTGGACCTTCAAAAATTCACATGGATACAAAAGCCACCCCCAACTTAATCATCACATGAGTGCTCAGGGTTCCAAGCCCCTTGTGAAGAATCTGTGGTTACATGGGCCAAGGGCTCAGTCACATTATCTACACTGAACAGCCACTAAAGATTTTGCAGAATGACATGCAGAATACATGCTTGCCACTAAGTAGCCTATTTCTGGCTTTTATTTTTAAAAAGTGGATCCCCTTCTCCCATGTTTGTCCACTGACATCCCAGCCCCAGCTACTAAAAAAGACGTGCAGTAGTCTTACTGTTAGTTTATGTAGTTTAGCCCACTCGAGGGCTCCCATGTACAGACCATCCAACTGTGCAATAATATAGCCAGCATGCCTCCAAAATGGGTCATCCTTATTATTTCTGATTTGTTGTCTTGTCCATTGATCTTGCTTCCTGCAGAGGAACAAACAGGTTGGGGTTTTCTTGGGTTGTTTTAGAGTACAATTGATAATGCAGGGAAGGGACAAATACATTATGACCCAGATGGTCCAGTCTTACTCAAGATCTGAGGCAAATCACGCTTTGGAAATCCTGCAGATATAAGCATTATATCCTCCAAGTGTAAATGTTCAGACTTAAGCAAAATACCCTACAATCATGTGCCTCTACCAGATTTTAGTGTCAAAAAAGGAATTGAACTTCATGTTTGTGGAGGATTTTGCTATAGCAGATTCAGTCAGTAAATGGAAACAAGTGCTTGAAAGGTTGGATGAAACATTCCCTTTTAAATGTCTATTTAAGAATAAAAATAGACTGATATTTGAAGAGCCTCCTTCTCTCCCCTGGGTTCAAGTGCAGTGAAGGCTTTCTGCTGGTGGTGCTCAAACATTGCCTGAGAACCATGTCTTTGCTCCTCCGAGTAACAGGAGGGAGGCCAAACAACTGTACCCTGTGCCAGATCCAGTCAAGAGCCAAATCACCCAGGTTTAGGGCATGAGGCAACACAAGCTGAACAGACCCTAGGGCAAGAGTCATCAACATTGTAAGGACCTCCCAGAATTCTCTCTTTTGCTGTGCAAAAAGAGCCACAAAAGAACCACAGGAAATGAGAATCAGATGCTAGCCTCTTCCATCCTCCTGTATCTATCCATCTGGCACTATGTAAAGTAGCAAATTGAGAGGACAAACCTGTAAAGGAAGCAAACTCTTCCAGCAGCATATGGTGAGAAAATCAACCAGAGTTAGCTTTCTAGAAACATCAAGATGCAAGAAGTACGTCCAAGGAAAGAGGGATATGGTCAGAGCACTTAGGGCTAAGGACTTTCAAGACAACACAGCAATCCATATTACAAAACTGCTATAAAGTAAAGCAGTGATGCAGGAGTTGAGGATAGAGGCAATAGAAAAGCAATACAAGGCCAACTAGTATTGCCCCCATTCATCCAACAATGCATCTTGGAGAATACAGCTGCTTTGCTGTGTCATTCTAGGAAAAAACCACATATACACTGATACAGCAGCTATCCCATTTTTCTCATAAGGAGGAGCACAGCAATGCTGAAAAATTATAGCAAGGGAGCACTAAGATCCTTTGTTCTATGTTTTGGATAAGATAAAACTAATTAATTTCATATATGCACACCAATAACAGTCAGATATTCAACCCCTTATGGAAAGGGCAAGACAAGGCAAATATGGAAAAAATTAGTCCCCAAAAGTGACCATTTCACACAAGCATTTGTAATGGAATAAAACACAAGCCTAATGAGATTAAAATAATTGGTAATCACAGCTGAATTTCCCAGTACCTGGCCTGGTTCTTCTCCTATTGTAGTTTCCCCACCAGTGTAGCTGCATTATTTGAGCAGCTACACTTTTTTTTTTACTTTTGATTTTTACAGCTAAAGTGAAAAGTGAATCACAACTTTTGTGATTAGGATAGAATTTACACTGGTGGTAGAATAAAATACTAACCTAACAGAAGAAGAAAAGGATGCACAATGCTAAAAAGATTAAGGTGCTAGGAGGCCACTGTTCAGTGTAATATTGAAAATATCAACTTTTCAAAAAAGGAATTTTACTAGAATGACCTTCAGAATTCATTGACATTTTCCCCACCCTTTGGCAGCAATGGTTTTAAACATTTCTTGGAAAGAATCAGAATTAGGGAAGGGTATAAGCACTTCTTCATGTACATTTAGAATTTCTTTTAATAATAATGGCATTCAATCAGAGGGAAAGGAAGCATATGCTTCCCTCAGCCCATAAGGAAGAGAATAAAAAAAGGTTGAAAATTCTGTCATCCTCCAACTCCAAGTCTTGATTGATTTATTTTTAGCAAATAAATACATACGCCATAAAATTCTGAACTCCTCTTCGAACGGTGGGAGTCTTAATTAGCTGTGGATACATATTTGCAGCATGGTCATACATTTGCCTGAAAGAACAAGAGTAACAGGAGTTATTCCTTTGCATCTTCTGTTTATCAACCAGTTAATTAACATGCCTTGACAGCAAAAGCAACACAATCCACAAAGTAAGTTTTTCCTACTCACAGAAAACACTCCAGTGCATGACAAAGAGCAAAAGTAACACAAAAGGATTGTTAAAATGTGACTTAAACTAAATTACTTTGTCAATGTCTGCTCAAACTGCTGCACAATGGAAAGAAGATAAGCAAGAATGAGATTGAACTACTTAATAAAAAAACCTGCACCTCCAGGGAATAATTGTAGGCCAGAAGCATCTTGAAAGAATTACCACATTAATTCAAGCACAACAAAAATAGTTTGCTGGAGACCTATGCTATTTGGAATCACAAGAAACACAGAGGCAAAGGTAATGTAATTTGCTGATTCAGTTCATTTCTCTCTTCAGAGAGAATTTCGGCATGATATCTAGCAGGTTTTACCTGCCAGTAACCATGTTCCTTTCTGTTTAAGCTAAATATCTCAATTTTTAAGCATGTATAAGATGATCCTTATGTACCATGATCCTTATGTACATGTTACCACAGAAACTCCCACTCATGGCAGTCCTAAATAGATTCAGCTTCATAGAGACCAAAATTCTTGTGGCTTTTTCTGTTGTTGAACTCAGTTAGCTGTTTTATCCACATTAACTTTTAAAAACAGAAGTTGAAAAGGCTTTGTTGCTTGTTGGTTAGGGCTTTTTTGTTTGTTTTCCTGAAGTGAAGTACTTCAAGATGAAATCAACTGTTAAAAAAATGCTCAGGAGCCCAGAATTAAAGTCACACTTCCTTTTTAGCTGAAATGTAATTGTCTGATCCAAGCCAAAATAAAACACTTTAACATTTCTCTTAATGTGAGTCAAACTTAACCAACATTTTTTTCAGTCACTGATTAAATTGGAAAAAAAAAAAGGGGGACATCAACAGAGAATTATTTCACTGAGGTCTGGAGTTGATAGAGATAGAATTACATCCATCATCAGTACATTTATCTTGTACCAAGTGCTGAGAGAAAGAAAACAGCACTGAGAAACAGATACCAGCCTCAAGGAAAGCACAAATGCCAGCAGGGCAAAATTCCTGTAATAAAACTTATGAAGCAGCTTTCTCTGGGAGGGATGCAGACAGGAGCTCTTCCCAGTTTCCCTCAGGGCATGACTAAAGAATACAGATAGAGAGAATGGTTTGCTGATGACTAGAGAATCATCTACTGACCTTCTCCCCTCTTTCTGTCCCTTGCCCCATTCCCAGAAAATTGCATGAACTTGATAGCATGATCCTGCTGCTTCTTATCTCAGCTCTGGTACCATTCTGACCATCAAATCTAATTGTGTCACACGTTCAGGCAAAACAGTAATCCAGCAAAAATGTGATTTGTTTTCATTTGTAGTTTGAATTAAGTTGTGGAAGGGAGATGCTGGGACAAGAGGGGAGCATTCAACAGCTTTTCACCATTACATTTCTCACAAAATTGCAGCAACAATTTTTAGTTCTAGAGTTTTCTGTCTCCCATGTAAAGCAAGACTACATAAAATATCATAATCTACTTCCACAAGACTGCAAGAAAATTGGAGAAACAGATCAATATTCTCCACCCCTGCACATTCACAGAGAATTTGGCAAATAAAAATCCCAAGTAATTTTAGGAAGGGAACTAAAAACATACTCTATACTAGAAATCATACAAAACATACTCTATACTGGAAATCAGAACTCTCATGTCACTAAAGAGGAGCAAATAGCACAGGTTGGTCCGTCTGGCAGATGATAATTTAGTGATTAGAGCCAGATGAGGAAGATAAAATCCAGCTGGGATACTGGCCTAACCACTGCCTAAGCCAGGACAAATTATCAGGCTTCCAACTCAACCATCAGCTCTACTCTCTATTCTGCACTCAGAGGTTATGCAGATTTTACAGCAGTAGTATCTTTAAGCTGTCATGACTGATGTAGAGACTGGGTTAGGTTAGAATTGTGACTGAGAAGACCTTTAATGGTTTCACTCTTATTTGCTAACAGAGGACAAACAATTCCTGGAATTGATTTTTTTTTTTTAATGATCAAGGTTATCAAGATTTTTTCCCCCCAGTTGCTCTCTTCAGTTTCTTTTTTTTTTGCTTTAACAAAGCTTCTATGTGCATTGTTTGTGTGTTTTGCAAGGGCATTATTCTCTGAATTAACTTGGATCACTACAGTAAGGCTTTGCAACTACATCTATGGCCAAACACAAGGCAATTGCAAATCTGGGACAAGAATTCCAAACCTAAAACCAGAAAAGCAGAGTCCTCCTTCTTTAAATTAGCAAGCAAGATGACAGGACTCCGGTCAGCTGAGGTTATATGAGGAAGAGTAAAATTAATGTTGCTTCAAATTTAAATGCTGTTTTTAGGCACCTGGCATGTCCCAGCTGGAACTGATTTAAAATAATGTCACAGATTTAGATGTGTTCTGCCACTAAGTAAAGTCAGGCCTCATTAACACTTCTCTGTTAGAAATGGGGAAAGGAAATTCATGCCTAAGAAAGCCAGAGCAAGTACCTTGGCCACATGATATGACTGGACTTTGCAGAAAGGTGAAGGATTTGGGATAAAAACAAGTGCTTGGATCCCCAGACACTACAGACACTAGGATTCAATTTATCCAATGTCTAACTAGGCATTTTAAAAACACATGGATACTCTCATACTCAGAATCAGGTGTCAACAATAGAAAGATGAAGCATACTCTAGAGAAGACTTACATTTCTGCCATCACTGGAAAACTGGTCTGACTATTGTTTTCTCTACCACTGACCTATACAGTTAGAGCTGAAATTAATTATGGCCCAGTAATCCAAAATAAAACAGTTCTAGCATGTTTCATATTTTGATTTTTTTTAAAATCTCATTATTTTACAGACTGTTTAGGTTCCTACTATAGGCAAGGCATATACTTTTAAGTGAGATACTTTGTCACTCTTTTGCTTACATGTTAAAGGCCCAGCTGTGTCTGGAAACTCTCCTTCATGCCCTACAAGTAATGCGAGATCTGAGCTAGCTGAGAATTCCTGAAGGTCTCCAAATTGCAGGCCAAGCTGGACCTCCTGCTCATCCAACAGCTTCTGCAGGAAGCTGTACTTTAACATGGGTTCAGGCACCAACATTTCCATCCTATCAATGCATCACATCAGAGCTCTTCCTAGCAGGACTTCTAGGATTTCTGCAAAGAGCCACCCTGGGTCTGCTTCATGGAGTCCTTACAACATATGGATGCAAGACAGCTGGAGACCGTGGAGTTGTTCAGACTACAGGCAGCCATGTACTAAAAAGCTCTTCAATTACCAAGCATTACACCCCATGTTTTCACATTGGAAGGCTGTGCCTGAACCACCTGAGGTGCTTGTACAGGTAAGTCACATAAGGGTCTTCACTGCAGCAGCTAAGTGGCTGACAATGCAAATAAAGCCTTCCCCAAAGCTAAACACGTACCTACACTCTCCTTCGTTCTTACCAAGAACTTAAAAGGGAAGCTGGAGCTGTGGACACAAATGTGTGCAAAAGTAGAACAATAGTGTGTAGAGACATCTTCTCTAAGGGAAGTTGTGATGGTGCTAGAGTTTCCATAAAACAGGCTAAATGGGCCAGGCAGTCTGATGGGAATGGAGTTACTGATTGAGAAAGGCTGTTTCCCAGTTTTACCCCAGAAGACTTGTTTAACTGTCCCACAGAAAGAACATCTGCCTGCATGTTAATGAGGATTCTCTAAATTTCTAGGCTAGATGAAGGAGAAATGGAGTTCTGAGTGCAATCTTAACATCTGCAGACTCAGGGAGTTCTCACTTCTCCTGCAATTTAAGAAATTGCAAACACAGTCTATAAAAGGATTCATTAGTTGCAGTTTGGCAAATAAAAACCCACCAAGGTCATGCAGCTAAATCCTGAAGTAGTAGGTTCTCTGTCTTATCAAGGGACAAGAAAGTACATCACTATTTCATCTCTGTTCCTTACCTGAAACATTTTCAGAAGGCATTAGCTTCTGGAGAAGCCTTCTTTATCCAAAATAGCTTTACACAACCTCACAGAAAAAACTTGTTTGTAACTCAGAGAGAAATGCGCTTGCACTGCAGTTACAGATGGACAGTGGGGCAAAGAAACAGCCAAAAAAGTTAAACTCAGACAGTATGTATAATATTTGATACTCATTTTATTGACAGCAAGCATTTTCAGATTTTGCACTTGCCAGGAGATTTCTTGGTGGATTTTCTCAAAAAGCCTCCCCAGAAAAGGCAGGCTTTGGCTACTTCTGATTTTGCATCTTAACCCACTCTTGCACTTAATCTCCTTTCAAACAGCTGAATTTCCCATTTTGCTTAAAAGCCTAAGTCTCAAACCATACTTTTCCATATTAATACAAACCCTCAGCTTCACTTCTGTTCATTAATAGTTCTGCTACATCCACTTCTTTACAAAGAGCCACTCAGTGCTGGAGCTGCTAGCCCCAGAGTAACAGCAGCCAGGGCTAGGAACCAACCTCAGTAAGCACATGACCTGCAGAGGCAAAAACCTTGAGCAGAACAACTTGGACAACTTCACTTCTGTGAATCTTCACTCAACACACATGGGAAAAAAAAGGGAGAAAACCTCCTTCCTCTAAAAGTCAGCCAAGAATAAGATATCAGATAAATCCCTGCAGACACTGTTCCAGATTCAAACCACATAAAAAGAAGCAGACACATACTTAAGTTTGTTTCAAACACAGGAAGACACATAAATCTACTGTGGAGGCAGAAGAGGAAAGGGTGTGAGTTGTTCCTACTACAGCACTACTTGCCATCTAATTGAGCTTAGCATGGACAGGGCTACCTGTACTATGACAAAACTTAAGCTTAATCACCTATTGATTAACACACCTAGGTAAAGCCTTAGGAAAGAAACGTGTTGAACAATACCCAATTTTAACAGTATTCCAGATGTAATGCTAGCATTCCCCAGATTCAGGGATAGTTTACATAAACTAACCAAACAGGGCAAGGCAATAACCTCTCACACCAAATAACAGATCTCTCATGAGCTTAATGTCCTTTCCTGTCTGGAGTACAGGTTGTGTACTAAGAATTTTAGTACTCCTGCACTCCCTCAGAAGTGTTTTGTTATTGACAAATATTACTTTATTGAATTTCCTTTATAAACTTCCAGAGACCTAGGTGCCTCACCAGTAAAACCTACTAGAGAATCACATTATCATATGCCCAGAGAACTATCCATAAGTATTAACTGATCTTAAAATATCTTACTAATTAAATGAATATAATCTTGTCCAGCAGCTGTACCTGAGAAATGTTCAGCAGACAACCTTCCCTTGCTGGCCTGTGCAACACAGACTATGAATATTTATTTCAGTATTCTGAAAGCAAAGCTGATGAAGCCAAAAAGTCAAGTCATAGCAGTCATTGCAAACTCCTCCCAGCATCAGAATTTTGGCATTTTTCTCTTCCTATGACTATGCTGATAGAGCAAAAGATGGAGCTTGTTCAACAACAAGCCACGTGTCATGTTCTTAGCTGTATCACCAGCTATAGAGAGTCACAGAATCACTCAGAAGATTGGAAAAGACCCTTAAGATCATCAAGTCCAACCTAGCACCACCATCTGCTATCAGGGAATATTTCATAATATCATTCTGTCTTCCAACTTAGCCACAGAAAGAACAAAGTTTGATTAATTTTTTTGGTTGGCTGTTTTTTGGGGTTCTGGATTTTTCTATTTGTTTTATTTTAGGAAAAAACTCCTGCACTGGATTTGTAACAAGCACAAAATTCCCTCACTTTTCATAGATGTGAACTGTGGGAAAGGCTCAATCCCTCAGGGCTTTCAGGAGAACACTAACCCTTCTAGACACGCCCCAGTCTGCCTTCAGGCCTATAGTTTTTGCGGTTTTGTTGCTGTTGTTTTGGGGTTTTTTTTAAGTTGGCCAAAACTCCCCATGCTGTGAAGTTTTAGTATCTGCTCTCCGGCAGTTTCTTGACGTTATCTGCTGAAAAACATCCTTAAGGAAGCACTGCAGACCTTCCTAGCAACATTTCTCCCTGCCTGAGCTGCTCTCAACTGCCTGATCAGCCACCAAACTACAAGCTGGGAAATAACCACACTTCTTGCTACTCCTTATGCACTTCCTTACATTATTTCGTGATTACATTACTTAAGCAGTAATACAGATACAGTACCCATCTATCCCACCAAGGTCTTGGGAGATGCTGCAGGATGAGAAGGGGAGGGCACATCCTGATCCCATAATGAAGAAGCTATACTTTGTACCTGCTACTAATTAAAGAATACCACACAGATGCAAAATGTATCATTAGTTTAAAAAGAAAGGAATTTAGGACAACGAAAGCAACCAAAGAACACCACAAGTACAGAAATCCACTGGAAGTGCCATGAATTGAGTTGCTTCCTGAGGTACTTACGGAGCTGTGAGATAGCCTTCCAAGAAGCCAGCAACATACATAATATCTTCATTGCTTAAGGTCTGCGAGCCATAGCCTGCTCTGATCTCCAGGACTCCCCAGCCTGTTGTCTGTAGACTGTTGTTGTAGAAGCCATAAGCATCTCCACTCCTGTCCAGAGTATTCTTGACCTGAAGTATTTTTTCAGCTTTATTCCAGTACACAGTTGCATAGCGGAGTTCTGTGGTGGAGAAGAAAGGAGAAAGGGAAACAAATATAAGAGGTGTTTCCTATGCAATACTGAAATGTCAAGACAGTATTTTGGAATTTAAAAGTTAATTTCATCGCTTTCCATCAGGTTTAGTTCTACTGCAGAGATCAACGCTAATGCTAATATACTGAAAAAGGGCATGAGGACTAACTGGAGTTCTACAAGAGCTCACAGCTAAACATTCTTATGTTATTCTTCTGGAAGTTTTCTACAACTCGTTCAGTGTACAGCTCCAGCATAGCAGAGTGTTGACATGAAACTCTGAGTAGTATTTCCTTACCTGGCCCAGAACACAAGCTATACAAATCTTATTGAAAGCAACATTAGAAGACAGCATGCCTTAGGAACTGCAAACGATTATAAACTACAGTTGACTTAATTTTCCACCTAAAGATTCAAAAACTTCTAAAAGCTTTCTACACAGACCATCTGGGAAACCAATTCCTGAGATGACATAACAGAAGCAGTAGGACACAGTGGATCACAGACTTAAAGACAAAAGCACAGCAGGTATGCAATCCTTTACCAGGTACACAGTGTTTATCATGCATCTGAAATAGAATTGATCTTAAGCATGATACAAACAGGAAGGAAGGGAATAGACTTCTCAGAGTTCCATTTGGACTGCTGTTTTATAAAACATTCTTGATTACTTGTGTTTCAATCCTGCAAAGCTGAAGAACAAAGAGCAACATAAATCGCCTTCTGAAAAAAAAAAAACCAAACCACACCACCAAACAAGCAACATCAAAAAAATCCCATGTGCTACAATTCTAATTGACTGCTCTCTAAGAGGAGCTGTGATTACATCAGCTCTCTATGCATGACTGATCAAATCACTACTACATCACTGTGAGAAGAGTTAAAAAATTGTATGTCAGAGGTCCAAGAATCATTTAAAAAGTTTTAAGAGATAAATTCATAAATAGCCCTTCTGAATGACTGCACAGCCCTCTGGCATATCACCAGCAAATTTGCTGAGGGAACACTGCCCCATCACCCAGGTCATCAAGGAAGATGCTGACCAGTATCAACCCCTGGCACAGACCACTTGTTACCAGCCTCCAGCTAGGCTTTGTACCACTCTGCACTAGGTCAGTCTTCATGACGTACTAGAGACACTTCTCATGGGAACAGCAAATGCATTGGCAGAACGAGAATCTTAGTAGGGAAAGAACCTTGCTTTTTCCACATTCTGTGAAAAGAAGTCGTTACCTGAGTCTATTCAGAGATGAAGTAATTCAGGGACTTGGAATACAGTGTTTAAAAACATGTTTTTCATCTGCCAGGTACTGAGGCTATTTAAAGGACAGACATGACAGACTCATTAGCTCTTCAAGCAGCTATGAGCTTAGTCTTCTGTTGTCTCCTTAACTATCTTCTAGTAGTAGAAGCAGTAATTCCTACTTTAGATTAAAAGCAAACATGGGAATCACTCAGACTGAAAAATCTGTGAACTGAAGAGCAGGCTGATAAGGGTCATCACTGATGAAAGCCAAAGACCACCTTACAAAGCTAAAGCCTATATAACAAAAAAGTCAGGGCAAAGGAAGTTCTGCGAGGGGATGATGCAAGGGGTCAGAGCAGAACACAACTTGCCTGTCCAGCAGTAAATGGGAGGGCTGATTCCAACCAAGAAGCCCACTGCAGGGCAGAGGAGAGACTACTTGCACAGTAAACAAAGATGTTGAGGAACAGATAAAAAGAGAAATAAACTAAGGCAAACCATGACTATCTTTCCATCTCTTCAGGTGGCTGTGGAGAGGTGGCTGGCATTCAACAGGGATGAGGGCAGCTGGGTATTGCTATTAGTGCCTGCAAACTAAATAGTGATGTCAGAATACCTATTAGACCTATAGAGAAGCTGTGCCTGCCTAAATCAAAAGAGCTGTTGCTTTCCTTTGGAAAAGAAAGCTGATGCCAAAGCCAGACAGACTCATCTGACACAGGTACTTGCACAGTGGGCTGGGTTCCATTGTTTTATGTTCTGCCAGAGCATGAACGTGCAGAGCTATTTTCAAAAGTCCAAACAAACTTTTGAATTACCCCTGGAGTCTGCCCTGGCCCAGCTTCCCTACATGACAAATTTAATCTGAAGAAAACCAGAGCTCAAAGTGGGTGGGAGAAAAGGAGAAGCATCAAATCACAGGAGAACTTGCAACAAACCCTGAGAGGCCTTTAAAGGAATAGCATCAAGGTAGCTGTTACAGTTTCACAACAGTGCTGCAAACCACTATTTCCCATTACGGCTTTTTCTTTTGATTGACTCATCATCTCATTTCACCTTGCAGCTGGAGTTAAAACTACAAGCTTATAAACCTGTCTACACTACAATATAATCAAAGCATTTAGTACCACCTAATCTGGTCCAATTTTATTCTGTATTCATCTAAACAAGCAGGACTGCCTTTGCCAAGAAAACCATCCAGAAGTACAATACGGAATACAGATATACAAGAAATATGTGCACATTTTCAAACAATTCTGTTTGAGTTCTGAAGAAAACAGGAGCCTTCCTATTGAATAACATTTATATTTTAATTTGAATATTACATTTGTTTTTGGAGGGTGAGACAGGAGCCCTAGCATCTCTTATCCCAGCAGTCATATTGGTCAATTTTTGCATAGAAAGCAATTGCAATGTCTCCATGAGCCCACAACTCATCTTTTCATCATCAAAGTTAAGACCTCCAAGTGTTCAGCCTGCTAGAACTCTGACAAATCAGAGACTGATAATCTCTAACTATTGCACAACAGTGTTGCTTAGAATAACCTCAATAACACACCAAAGCACACACTATCTACTGCAATGAACAAGTCAAAATCCTGGGGGATGGGGTGGGCCAGTGGCATCATCCTTCCCCTCCAAAAGCCAGCCAGGAGAACTGCACAGCTTCAGCACTACAGAGGTTCACCACAACCACCGCTGGGGTGGGAGAGAGATATGCAGAAGTGCAACGACAGAATAAGCCTGGAAAAAAGTGTTTCTTCTCCTTTCTGCAGGAAAAGGGGACTGGGAGGAGCCTTCCTTCAAGCTGCCTCCTTTTAAAGATACATCAACCCTTCTCCCAAATACAGATCCAGAAACAGAGACTACAGCTGGGAGAGTGCTGGAATTTCTACAGCAAGTGAGAAATATCTGCTTTCTGTCAAAATTATTCCCTAAATAATGGGGAAAGGGTATTCAGCCAGGAAAATTGGAGGTGGTAGCGGTCCCTTTGGGTTTTAAGCTGAAACACCAAATCTGTTCTCTGCCTTTTGGGCTCAGTACAGGCATTTCAAAAGTTATGTTAAAACTGTATATTGTCTTTTACTTGGTGGCAGCTGGAGAGTAGAAATACATACATGTGCATTACAATATGAAACAAGCAATTAAAGGAAATACTAAGATAGAGGACTGACATGAGATGAAACACAAGGAAAGCAGATGCTGAAGAAGACATGAAGGAATAGCAGCAATCTGCAATAAAAGAATTGACAGAGAAGGTGAAAAATGAAAGAAAAGCAGTATGGAGATGGCCCAAGACAATCTAACAAGCACACTACTAGTAATATTTATTTAATAAATTAGACCCAAAAAGTAATACCTGGCATGCATTAAGAACACCAGTAAGATTTATTTGGCAATATGCAATAGTTGCTTTTCCTTAGGCTTTTCCAGCTATAAGTTGCTTTTAAAACATACATATATCAAGTTAGGTTACTGGACTTTATACTTAGAGAAATGAGTAGAGCTCTTTTCCTTGCTGGATGAAAGAACTACAAGGTCAGGGGGTGAGAAATAATATTCGTATTTTTCCTTAGTCTGCCAAGCAAGCCAGCTCACAAGCAATGGAACACTGGTTAGTTCACATGTAACAAGCTAAATTAACAATTGTCAGCATCTCCTACTAATATGAAAATTTAGTAGTTAAGGAAACCAGTAGTTAACTACTAATTTTTATCTGTGGCTTTCCAAATGTGAAGCTATTTTTTTGTAGAGGTGTTCTTCACAGATTCTGCCCATAAACTTTCCAATAAATAGGGAAGATAGCACTCTCCTGTTTCACCAAAAACTAGTTTTGCATCACTTCAAAATACAAAAAACTTTAGAACAAAATTGCACATTTGATTTCAGTATACTCTCTCCTACAACTAATGTTCAGTAGTAAAGATTCTATTATCACAGTATAGCATTTAAATATTTAAGGTCAACCATAATAAGGGCATTTCTGTTCAATGTTTTAATTTGAAAGACCTTGACCTATTTTTCCATTAAAAATTTTATAGAATCATAGAATGTTAAAGTTTGGAAGTGACCTTAAAAATCACTTAGTTCCAACCTCCCTGCCATAGGCCTCATCACCTTTCACTAGTCCAGGTTGCTCAGGGCCCCATCCAACCTGCCCTTGAACATTTCCAGGGATGGGGCATCCACAACTTACTTGGGCAGCCTGTGCCAGTGCTTCAGCACCCTCACAGTAAAGAATTTCTTCCTGCATCTAATCTCAATCTGCCCTCCTTCAGTCTAAAACCTCTACCCCTTGTTCTGTCACTACCTGCTCGTACAAAAAGTCCATTTCTTCCTTTTTATAATTCCCTTCTGGGTACTGGAAGGTTGCAGTGAGGTCTCTCCAGGATGAACAACCCCAGTTCCCCCAGTCTGCCTTTGCAGGAGAGGCGCTCCATCCCTCTGACCATCTTTGTGACACTCCTCTGACCCCGCCTATCCATGGGTTATTTAGAAGCAGCATTTAAACTATTTTTGAAAGACTGAATAACTCTAAAGAACAAGGGAGATTTCAATATATGATTATGATTGGAATCTATTACAAAACAAGACTATTTCAGGGCTTCTTTAGAGATTAGCTTAAGCCACACAAGAAATTAACAAAGTCCAGTAATTTTCAAATAAAGGAGTAAATGCTTTCTTGATCTGCCTGAATATAAGCTATTTGTGTTTTCTATTCTACTGGCCTTAATTAATCCTATTTCCTCATGCATTTTGGGTCTATGTAATTTTTTTAATTTGCTTCCAACAGGCCTGTCCTTTGAATCCTAATGCCCTGATTTGTGCTTACATCAGTGAAAAGTAATATTCAAATGTGACCTCTCAATTAAGAGTTTCAGTCTTGTATGGTTTTCATGTTCACAAGGATACTTACTAGTAAAGCTCAGTAAATTTGCCAAAACAGTTATAGGTACCTAGTATAGGTCACCCAGAGGAAACAAAACCAGCCATTCAACAAGTAGCTTCACTAATGTCAGAGCACCTCAATTTAAGTCATATTAAAGAACATTCTCCAGAAACATTTTCCAAAGTGTATGAGTATTACTCAAATATGTATTACTCAAATAATCTTTGAGGCATTCAAAGTGCTAAAGAACAATGAACCAATTTTAAAAAACCCAAAGAACGGAATCTAGACAATTCGTAATGTTGAAAGCCATTTGCTCTATTAAATAGCCTAAAGGCATTTCTATTTGCTCCTTTGTAGCTTTCCTAGTAACTCAATTATGATGCTAGAAATCAGTTGGGCATTAGGTGAAACTACTCCATAGCCTAAACTTCCTTTCATTTCCTCTACATAATTTACAGCTGACCCTTCCTTTCCTAACTGAAATTTTTGCCGATCCAGGGAAAGTTTTGAAAGTATGTCTGCAAGATGAGATAGGACTGCCCACAAAATGATATGCTTGTAACATTTTGCACACGTTGAGACAACTGTTATGTTAATTTCTCCTTGGTTTGTGGCACTTCATACATTAACTGGGAAATTCCTGGAAGATAAGCACCGAATCCAGCCTTTAAAACCTTCAGAATTTATTGAAAGCAGCACAAGAGTGAGATACTCTGTCCCTGCCCGAGGCAGCGTGGCTGGAACAAGATAATCCTAAAGTCCCTTGCAACTCAAACCATTCTGGGATTCCGTATGAGCGCTGAAGCACAGACCATGACCCATACCCCACAAGGCAGCACCAAAACTCTGTTAGTCACAAGTTGCAGCACGCTGCAGGCCACAGCACCACAACGAAGTCTTCATCCCGAACGATTCCCGTGCCGGCATATGACATTGAAAACCAGCTCGGCTGGGAGCTCAAGGCAATTTCCCACCTGTTGCATCCTCAGTTTAAATCCCCGCGTCCTTTCTGGGAACCGGGAGGATGTTTAGAAAGCGCCGGCACCGAACGCCCACGAGGCAGCACGGCCGCGCCGGCCCGGCCGCCGGGCACGAGGTGCTCGCGGAGCAGCCGCTGAGGGAGCGGAGCCAGCCCGGCCTGCGGGGTCCCGCCGCGGGGAGCGGGGCCCAGCGGCCTCGCACCCGCGTCCCAGGCAGCACGGGGCGGAGGCGCGGCTGCCACGGACGGGGCGCGGAGCCCGGCGGTACCCCGGGAGAGCTGCAGCCTCTGCCGCAGCCGAGCCCGGGCCGGGCTACCCCTCCCGACCGCCTGGCAACACTCGCGGGGCAGCCCCTGTGACTCCTGCCGTCCCCCCCACCACGGCGAGGGGGCTCTGGCCGGCCACCCCCCGCGCCCCCGCTCGCCTCACCTGCGCGGCCGCCCGCCGCCGCCCACAGGAGGACGAGCGCCCAGCAGCAGCGGCACACGCTGCCGCCCGCCCGGGCCATGCCGCCGCTCCCCCGTGACTCCTCCGAGCGCCGGGAGGCGGCGGGACTTTAAGAAGTTCCCTCGCTCAGGGCAGGTCTCGCCGCTGCCCCCGCCTCCTCCGGCGCCCGCCCCGGCCGCGGCGGCCCGTGCTGGAGGTGGCCCTGCCGGGGACGGTTGTTCCCCGCGCCGGCCGCCGGGATGTGCCCCGGGAGCGGCGGAATCTTTCCTGCTCCGATACGGGTTTGGAGACCCCAGGGCCTGGCTGAGGTGTAGGAATCACCCCTGGCCGAGGTCCGGCGTCGCAGGGTAGTGAAGGCGGGTCCCCAGGCAGGTGCTTGTGGCGCCCCTGGACTTCCCGAGGGTGATTAACCTTGAAGGGGCGAAAGCTTACCAAAAACGGCTGTGGAAAGACGCAAGAGGAGTTGCGCGATGCTTATCAAAATATGCGTTTTGCATCACAGCGTGAGAAACGATAGCGAAGGGCAGCTTTCAGCCCTGTTAGAACAGTAACTGCTGTGTGTGTCCCAGCAGAAGAAATGAGGGACAGAACTTTTCCTAAGGTTTACAGATAGAGACAACTTTCCTTGGGATTTTCCTTTGCACCCGTGATTCAGACCATTTTGAGGCACTGCGTTTTTGTCTCACCCAGTGTTGGATATTCTGCCATTATCTGAAAAAGGGTCATTATTTGGACTTTGTGTTTCAGTAATTGTTTAAGACAGTTTGAATTTGATACCGGTGCCTGTAATAGCCCCATATAACACGATCACATGCCAACCAGTTCAGGCCAAGTAGTAAGCCTTGGCCCCAAGCCCTGGGTAAGAGCACTGTGTCACCAGGCTGCAGGGATGCTTCCATACCTAGCACCGCTTTGTTCTGGGTTACTTTTCACTTAGAGAGAAGGAAAAAACAGACATTCAAACCAGAAACCAGGATTTTTTAAAAGAGTAGTCAATGTTGATTTTATTGTGGTGTGTAGGTAACAGATATGTGCAGGGACAGAATCATGTGAAAAAGAAATCTACCAGAATTCCATCAACTCATTGCTAAGGTAACTATTTCTCTTCACAAAATGATACAAAATGTACTATCTGAAGAACACTGGAAAGAGAAGGGCTGCTGAAAACTAAGCACTTTTTTAAAAGTAATTTTCCCAATCATTGTCAGCAGACATGCTCTAAAATAATTTGTATCTCAGGGGTGTCAAGGAACCCATAAAACTCTTCTTTAAAAAGAGGAAGTAGGTCACTTGTATCACTTCAAAGATCAGAACGGCTCTGCTTGGGGTAATCATAGTGGTCATCTTCAGGCTTGACGAGTCCAGCACTTGTCACTACAATACAGCTCCACTTGCTGAGTTTTCCAGCCACAGCAACCAGAATAGCCCAGCAGTGCCCAGTAGCTCAGCAGTCCCACCCAAAAACACAGAGACAAAGCTTGTGGATTGGCGCCACGAGGTAGGAAATAGCAGACTTTATATTTTTATTGTACTCATACTCTTTTCAATACATACCAGTTTTAGCTCATCAGGGTTTTTGGGATTTTTTTTCTATCCTCACCCCAATTAATGTTTCCATTAGGACATTGAGGATGGTATGGCATTAATGCCAGTTTGAGTTTCAGATTGATTATATATCATGTGAAAGCTGTGACTGTTGGGTACACACTTTCTGTTATTTGTCTGTATCATGTTCCTGAGTGTAGGAATATACATCTGTTAGATAGCGTATAAGCCCTGCAGAACCTCATTATTGAATTTTTCCAGTAATCTTTGCACTTCAGATCTATTTACATCTACATTGTTCTTTTAACGTGTGTGTGTGAATTCTTACAAAGCCAGCTTCTCTTAGAAAGAAGAAACAGAGGCAACTGGATTGCTCTCTTTTAATTCTTTTTATGTTGTTTAGTTGAGCAAAAATGCTGTTCAAAACTATAAAATAATGATTTTGCACCAGTTTTATTGCTGAATACTGACCAATATTTGACAATGCTGAAAGTAGTTCTGCTTTGAAAGCCAATAATGCACAAAAGGCCCTTGCAAAAGCAGATATTCTTCACTCACTAGATGTTATTTCTTCATGTGAATGCTGATTTTCTTTTACATGTGACCCCTGTGCTTTTGTTGCTTGTTAAAGCTGTTTATTAATACCAGTACCATGGTGTCAGTTGAAGAATGAGTCATCTGAGTAAAATTTGCTTTACAGTAAAAAAAAGTTGAATTGCAAAGGTCTGAGGTTAAGAAATCCAGATAATTTTATTTCCTTAATTTCTGTTTCACTTCTGGTTTGGGGGCAGAAGCAGAAGTAGTGAAAAGATATGAAAGTGTCTTGTTTTGCATGAATTAGTTTCATTTTTCAGGCCCAGGAGATTCAGCTAAACTTTACAAACCATACTTCTGGAATAATCTCCCAATGTAAATAATAGAAGTGTTGTCTCTTGAACAAAGTCAGCTTGATTCAAGAAAACATGTGAAACACAGAGGAAAATAGCAGAAGAAGCAAAAGAGCAACATATTCACATTATACATATGATATATTTAATTATATTTTCAAATATATTACACCAAATCTTTCTTCACATAAAAATTACAAATTAAATACAACATCTAAAGGTCATGGCAAATTACGATTTTCCTGTGAATATTTTCAGGAGTGGATTATTGAACAGACTATCACAATTTAAAAAAAACCTAACTAAAACAAAAACCCCCACTATTTTCCAGACTCAAGTGCAAATATTTTCATTTACCTCAAATCATGCTGCATGTGTCCTAACAAAGTCATCCAACAATTTCAATGTTACAGTGAGGAGCAGTTTGATTTACTGATAGCAGGTTGGATGGTAAAAAGGACTCTTGAAAAGGTGTTTTCTTTTTCCTCTAATTGTGTCTACAAGCCTCCAGCCTCCACATGTTGTCCAGAGAGTTGCTGCAGTTTTTTGAGTCATGCTAGATATCCAGTTTTAAATATAAGTGGTAAAATTCTCTGTGCTGACCAGTTGCAGGTATTCCAGGGTACCTGATCGGTGGCTACCTACACGCGAAAGCTCCTGTGCCTTGGATCCTTCATTTTCCCTTTTCTGAAGACTGTTGGTTATCATCTCTGCTAAGTCATCATGTAACCGCTGCTGATTCTCCCTGAAATCAACAGGATGGGGAAAAAATTCAGTGATTCACATGTTTTTGGTGATCCTCAGGTCCCCAGAGATTTTTAAACATTTCTATTCCCACGTTGATCTTAATGTTATTCACACACTACTGATAAAAATTGGGGACAGGACAAATTCGGCTTCTGAATTTAGGAACAGAAGAAGGATTTTCATGTGAGTTTTCCAGATAGTATGGATCAGTGTCTTTGCACAAGAGGTCTGTAGCTGTGTCATTATTGACCTTAAAAAGTCATGATCACTTGCACAAAAAGGAAGACACCAATTCAATCCTAATCAAAATAGTTTGTAGCTTTCGATATCATTACTTTATGGCACCAGGACTTTAACTATTCAACTTCAGGTGGCCTTCAGTAATAGAGTTGCCATTGTTTCAGAAACTTCTTCAGTGTATTTGGCTTTTGCTGGAGTACCCCACATATGACAATTTTTAAGGGGCAATCATATATGAAGAAGTGAAAACAAAAGCATCATGTGATACAGCTCGAGAGGTACTTTAAATTGTTGAATTGCAGAAGATTGCCAATTCAATAATTCTGATAGTCTCAACAGATCATATTAATTTTAACAAAGCAGTTCTGAATTTACAAAAGAGATGTATCATGAGGTAGTCTTGACAGTATTTCCTGCTCAGCCCAGACTCTTGTACTTTCCATTTTAAAAAACAACAAAGCTCATGAGATTCTGTAGCAGATTAAAAATTTGATTATTTCTGTTTTGCAAATACCCTGAGAAAACCCTCATATTCCACTTAATCTCCTCTTTTCTCTTAGGGAATAAATGGACTGAGAAATTTATTTGTGCAAAGGACACACTGTGAGACTCAAAACTTACAGTAGGAGCAAGCTGTAACATTTACTTATGCATTTCAGGACAAGGGATCCCCATGTATCTGGCAAACACCAATTTGCAATATCATTACTTCAATTTGTAAGGAAACATTGTCATTTCAAAGCGGATGGCAACGAATTCCTACTTACTAGCAACTGTACCCAGGTGTTAAGAGCAGAAAATGAGGAACTTCCACATTTAGTGAGTTTGCAGGAAATAAAGAGGTACTTATATGCAAAATATACCCTAAGAAAATGCAACAAGTTTTCCTGACTTCAATTTTGCACAGTTGCTCAAAAACATCACTTCCACTATTGCTACATTTTATTCAATTCTAATGCAAAATGATGGCTCAGCTCCAAAATATCAACTTCATTTTTTTTTTACTGATAACTTCTCTAAATGTTAGAAAGTAATCTCTTGTTTAATTTTTAAAGGCTTTATCCCTGTGCAGTATTACAGTAACTTTGTCCACCTCTTGTAGCAGAATAGTACTTGAAATCCTGCAAGTTTCATTCCTCTTACAAATTCCTCCATAAGAGTTCACAGGCACAAGAGAGCTGCACACTCAGTTGTGGTTATCCTCTTCCTGTAGCGTGACACACAGGTGCCACTAGGACTAAACTTGTGGAAATTTTATTTTTTTAATTTTCCTGTCCATCTCTTGCTTTTATCACATCAGCAACTTGTCCTGTAATTCTTAGAACATTTCCAAGGCAAAGAACCTGCTAAAGGTTTATATAGACAACCTTCAGCACACACACAGTCCCATGTAATGAATATTTACATGTTTTTATGCATATATACTATCAAGCCTCTTACAACTGGAGGCAAATTCAATTATATAAAAAATCCACAAGTGCCAAGGAGGAACAATAAAGGCTAAAGTGCAAAGAATGGGAATTTCTCCTCCCTTTTCACATAAAAAAACCGTCTTACACAGAAGGAGGTGTTGGGAGATTGTATTTCTTGTCCTCAGTACCCGTCAACCAGTAGGTAATTTCTGTTCCTCTGCCCTAAAGAA